GGGCTCGCCGCCTGCAGCAGCCGCAGCACCGCGACCTGGAGCCCCGCGCGGGCTATGGCTGTGCCCGGGGGCTGAGCGCGCAGGTAGGGGCACCGGGCGCACCGGGGCGCCGCGGGAGCAGGACTCCGAGAACCGGTGAGGGGAGGGGGGCTGCAGGGCTTGGGCGAGGCGCTTGGGCCGGGCGCACTGCGAGGATTCAAACAGCGTGGAGCAAGCTGGGCAGCCCGGGGCCGCGCGGGGAGGCGACGCGTCGCGCCCTGGGAGCCAAACTGTGCCTCCGGAGTTGGGGCGCAAGTTGGGCAAAGTTGGAAAATCGTTCCGAAGCGTGTTTTGCTCCAGTCCTTATTTCTCTCGAGGGCTGACTGTTGGTTCTGTTGCGCGGCAGGGCGCCCCGTTCCTGGCCTGGGGGCCCCTGTGGGTCCCTGTCCCATCCCCTCCTTCTCCTTGGGGCGGTGGCTCAAGCGCTCTGCTCCCGCTCCTATTCCGTGTTTACTGGAGAAGTTTCCGAGGTCGCCGCCGCTGCCCCTCGGCCCCTCCCGGAGCCCCCCCACCCCCGCGCCCCCTCCGCTGTCCCTCCCCGCTCCCCACACCTCCGCCTCGAACTGTGCGTCCGGAGTCCTCCCGGCCCCACCCAGTTCAGTACCACCAGCCTCTCCCTTTCTCAGCCCCCCTCCTGCTGCCCCGCCCTAGTCTGGCCCCTCCGCGTTCCCCGCTTCAGAAGTCTCCCTTCTTCCTCCAAGGCCGCGCTGCCTGAAGTTTGCAGCGCGCCTCGGGGCGGGACGGGTGGGAGTGGGGGTGGGGGGCGTAATTAGGGAGATTCCAGCGCGGGGGGTGGGCGGGGAGGGGGGGTACTGTGCGGCGGCCCGGCCCTCGGCACCGCCCCTTCCCTTTCGGGGGCGGCGCGCTCTCCCCCACCCCACTCCCAAACCCGTCCGGGCGGGATGGCCCCCGCCCCAGCGCCTGGCACGGCGCCAGCAGCCTGAGGAATGTGGTGGTTGGAGCCGCTGACTAATTCAAACCAGAACTCCGGGAGGAGTGGTGAGGGGCAAAGGGGAGGGGGAGGAAGGGGCTGTGTGTGGGACGTGGGGGCAGGAGGCGGCTCCGCTGTGGGAGGAGGGCTTAGCTGCCGTCTCGGGAACCCTCCGCTCCAGCCGCGCGCTCCAGGAGACAGGGTTGGGGGAACGAGGTCCTGCCCTGGAGTTGGAAAGGCAGAGTGCTTAGGGTGTGTTCGGAGCGCAGTGTTATGTAAGGCTTTCCCATGCGGGGAGCGGGAGTGCAGCGTGGGAGGGCCTGGCCCTCCCCTGGCTGGCCTGGGCGCCCCCTGCAGTGCCCGGGCCCGGGATGTGGGGGGCGCAGCCCTGGGCGGCGCTGGCCGCGAGGGACACGTGGGGTCTGAGCAGGCCTGGCTGTGCCCCTTGCGTGGGAGGGGAGCCGAGCGGGCAGACGGGGCAACTCACAGCTCTAGCTGCCCACCACTCCCACCAGGTGGGGGACGGCCCTGGCGCCTTTGCACAATGTGGCCACAGAGAATTGTGTGCGTGGTGTGTGCTCTCGCCTTTCACTGGGTGTGGCTGCAGAGAGGTGGTGGCCCCAGGGAGCCCGCGGTGTGCTGCTGACAGCCCTGCTCTGTGCAGTGGGTTTATGGAAAGGCAGAGTGGGACCATCCCCTGTAGTGGGGTCCTTAGAGAATGACCTGGAGTTTGGGAGAAAAAAGGTCTCGGATATTTACCTCTGTGTCCCCAGCACGGCGCTGGGCTCCCAATAATTGCTTTTGAAATAGTTTTCTCAGTTAGAATCCAGCCTCCGAAGGCAGGGATCCCCTGCCCTTCCTTGCACCGCCCAGCATTGGTGGGGACTGGATTGGTGTTATGGGACCTAGTGACAGTGTGGGGGCTGTAGTGATAGGTGGAGGCTGGCCGGGGGCGGGGTGGGGGGGAGAGGAAGGGATTGAAGGTGCTTTGGAAGGCATTTCCAGGCCTCTGTACCTATGCTGCGTCTAAAGTAGGGGGCAGGGCAGATTCTGCTTTCTTTTCCCTCTCTTCCTCTGCCCTGTCAGGAGGGAAATCCCTGGGGCAGGGTGTGGCACTCACTTCCTTTCCCAAGCGGAATGGGGAGGCTTCCTTCTCCTTGACCCAAAGGGATGATGGGTTGGGCCGGCACATGGTAGGTAGAGTGTGCAGAATGGGGAGTAAAAGGGCGCCCCAGGCTTGGGGGTACCTCCTTGCTCCGAGCTGTGAGCTGCCGGATGAAGGAGGTGGGGTGGGGCAGGGAGGGAGAGGACCTGGGACCATGAGAGCTGGGCTAGCATAGGACACAGGGTCTGCAAGCTTCAAAATGGGGCTTGGAGGGTGTCTGAGCCCCTCTCTAAAGCCTTTTCCTGAAGAGACTATAGGCAGGAACATTGGTCATTGAGCAAGGACACATAGGGCGCCACGTAAGTCAGGCGGGGCTTCGTGCTGGTGACAGGGAGGCCCTTAGCAGTGATTCAGGGGTCCTGGTTTGGGCAGCCCCTTGAAGAGCTAACCCCACAGAGCTGGGGACTTGTACCAGCCAGACTTGGTTCAGGGTGGTGAGGCTACAGTCCAGGGCCCAGGGTGCACCTGAGAGAGGAAACCACGGAAGACTGGTGGAGGGAGAAGGCTAGCAGCGGACAAGGGCAGGGAATGGGCTGGGGGTCTCCGGGGTCACCTGAGTCCCAGGGAGGCCCTGGGTGGAGCTGCCCCAGGCATTGCCAGACTCGATTCTTTGGCTTAACTTGGAATTAGCTGGCTGGCGCTGGTGGAGCACACTGCCCAGAGCCTGAGGAGCTGGTTTGAGAGGTTGGGGCAAAGCTGTGGGGGTGGAGGGGTGTGTGGGGCTCGGGGTGTGGCCACCACCTTCCTCAGAACTTGGGAACCGCCTGGGGACAGACAGAGGCATACCAGGAGAGCTAGTCCTGCTCTTGATGGGAACTCTCCCACTGCTGGCTCTTCCCCGCTCCCCCCGCCCCCACTCCCCAACGCCCCCAAGTTTCTCTCCCTGGAGCTGGGCTGACCCTCTGCCTGTGCCTGAGGACAGGAAGGGAGGTGGCTGCTGGAGAAGGTCTAGAATGTGCTGGTTTCAATCAGGTGGTGGCGGCGGCCTATGTCTAGGGCCTTCTGCTTTCTCTTCGGCCCCCACGGGCTTCATCGAGGCTCGCCGGGAGCTGGCATAGCCCTGGTCCCTGACCATCCCGCTGGGCTCCCAGGCCTTCCTGGGCAAGCTCAGTTTCTTCCGTGCGTGGTGGCTGGGGCTGGGGGGTGGGGGCCTGCGTGGGTGGGCCACAGTGGGGCTCAGCAGGAATGTGTGTGTGCACAGGAGTTCTGACAGAGCCCCTCAGGTCCCCCCAGGAGGAGGCCTGGGCTGTTGTAGCTGCGGGTCTTGCTTGTGTCCAGGTGGCGCCGTTTCACGGTGGCCTTGCGTCCCTGTGACCACTGGTGTCATAGCGGTGAGGTGTGTGTTACTCCCTGCGGGAGGATGTTCTTCTGGCTGAGCATGGTGGTCCTGGATGTGACACTCTGCTTGCATCTGGGGCTTACGGGGCAGGAGACAGAAGTGGGACTCTGCCCTGGCGGTGGAGGTTTCACAGGGGCTGCAGGTAAGGACTAGAGTCAGTTTCTGCATCCTGGACGGCTTCCCGGCCCACAGGCCCTCGGGAGGGGGAGGATAGCTCTGGAAATGAAGCCCCGGCTGAGTGAGGCGCTGCATTCGGCTGGTCAGGGAGGGGCATCCTGCCCTGTCCCTGGGGGCCAGAGCGGAGATTCTAGGGGAAGGGGAAGTGCCTGGAGCTGATCCCGGCTTCGTGTCCCAGCTTCGTGTCCCAGCCGGGCTGGGGGGCGGCTCTTTGGCGGCTGAGCCTCGGGGCCGGGCCCTGCGCCCTTGCACTTGCGGGGCCTGACCGCTGGGCGGGGAGCTTGCCTGTTGCTTGGGGAGTTTCTGCACCCCCTGGCAGCTCCCGGGCTGTCACCTTCCCCCCCCCCGGGGTGAGACGGAGCGTTCCTCTTCACTGCCCCTGCCCCGTGGAGGGTGCCACCCTCAGAGCTGGTGTCTTAGTCCCCGTGGTCCTGGGTAAAGGCTCTCTCTTCCCGGGCTATGCGGCCAGAGGCAGGGACTTGGGGCTGGATAATGGGCTGCTGCCCCCATCCCCTGTGGCAGGGAGGAGGGGAGTCCCTCTCGGTCATGGGAGGAAGAGGGAATCTCCCTCCCTGCTGGAAGTGAGAACTTGGAGCTCGCTGGGGGGTGGGAGGAAGCTGTGCGCAGAGGACCAGGGGAGAGAGGTGGAGAAAGGTATAAGGGAGGGACCCAGCAGGCCCGTGGGGTAGGAGCGAGCGGGGCTCCCCTGGACGTTGAGGTGGGGGGGCCCTGCTGGGGCTGACCAGGAGGAGAGGGCTGGAGTGACCCAGCTGGAGGAACTTCCTGCTGGTGGGAGCTGTGGGCTGGGCCAGTGGCCCAGGTAGCCAGGGAACAAGGAGATAGGGGCACACAGGTAGAGGGAGACACAGACTCCGGGCACCGGGTTGGCAGGTGGAGGTGCCTTCCCTAATGGGCAGGGCCTGGGGCTGCCTGGACAGGTGTCTGTTGGGAGCTGGGGAAGGCGGGGCTGTGGGCCTGCTCAGGGCTGGGAAGAGTGGGGAACGGGGCTGATGAGCATGTCTGTGTGCACGCGGAGTGTGCGCGTCCTTGTGTGTCTTTCTGGGAATGTCTCTCCAGTGCCCAGATCGCCTGTGTCTTGCAGCATGTTAGTCGTATTCTCCCTGATAATCCCACCCTCCCCCCAACACACAACAGGCCCCCTTGGGCGGCACCCCCCAGGATGAACGGAGTGTAAACGTTCTCGATGCCGGCTTAGACTCTTGAGATTATCGTGCTCTTCTCCCCCAGTTAGAATAGGGCATGCTGTTTTCCAGACAGAGCTCTGGCAGCCGCCTCCATGGAGGTCCGTTTGGAGGCCTGGGCCCCGGAAGCCATGCCTGCCCTGTGTGGGATGAGCGTCAGCCCTGTTGTGGTTGTTCCCGTTTCCCAGTGAGCAGAAGTAGCTGCCTTGCCCTCCTGGTGCTTTTCTCTG